GCCTGGTCAGCCTGCCGCCTGCCGCCTGCCGCCTGCAAGCCGTCCGCTCGCCCGTCGCCCGCCGCCCGTCAGCCCGCCGCCTGTCGCCCGCCGTCAGCCGCCGCGCGTCAGCCCGCCGCCCGTCAGCCCGCCTCCGTCTGCCGCCTCGCCGCCCGCCCACGCCTGCCGCCTGTCAGCCCGCCGCCTGTCGCCCGGTCAGCCGCCCGTCAGCCCGTCAGCCCGTCGCCCGCCGCCCGCCGGCCTGTCGCCCGCCGCCCGTCAGCTCCGTCGGCCCGTCAGCCCGTCAGCCCTGCCGCCTGCCGCCTGTCCGCCCGTCAGCCCGCTGCCGCCCGTCAGCCTGCGCCGGCGCACGTCGCCGTCAGCCTCGGTCAGCCTGTCAGCCGGCCAGACCGCCTGTCAGACTGTCAGACTGACAGAGGACAGACCGACAGTCGAAAGACTGACAGACTGACAGACTGACAGACTGACAGACCGGACACCGACAGACTGACAGACTGACAGACCGGGCAGACTGACAGACAGACCGACAGACTGACAGACTGACAGACTGACAGACTGACAGACTGACAGACTGACAGACTGACAGACTGACAGACTGACAGACTGACAGACTGACAGACTGACAGACGGACAGACTGACAGACTGACAGAGACTGACAGACCGGACAGACTGACAGACCGGGACAGACTGACAGACTGACAGACTGACAGACTGACAGACTGACAGACTGACAGACTGACAGACTGACAGACTGACAGACCGAGACTGACAGACCGACAGACTGACAGACCGACAGACTGGACAGACTGACAGACTGACAGACTGGACAGACCGGACAGACCGACAGAGGACAGACTGACAGACTGACAGACTGACAGACTGACAGACCTGACAGACTGACAGACTGACAGACTGACAGACTGACAGACTGACAGACTGACAGACTGACAGACTGACAGACTGACAGACTGACAGACTGACAGACTGACAGACTGACAGACTGACAGACGAGACTGGACAGACCGACAGACTGACAGACTGGACAGACTGACAGACTGACAGACTGACAGACTGACAGACTGACAGACTGACAGACCAGACAGACTGGGACAGAGACTGACAGACTGAGACTGACAGACTGACAGACTGACAGACTGACAGACTGACAGACTGACAGACTGACAGACTGACAGACTGACAGACCTGACAGACTGACAGACTGACAGACCGACAGACTGGACAGACCGACAGACTGACAGACGGACAGAGCCCGACAGACTGACAGACCGACAGACCGACAGACTGACAGACCGACAGACCGACAGACTGACAGACTGACAGACTGACAGACTGACAGACTGACAGACTGACAGACTGACAGACGGGACAGACTGACAGACCTGACAGACTGACAGACTGACAGACCGGACAGACTGACAGACTGACAGACTGACAGACCGGACAGACTGACAGACCGACAGACTGACAGACTGCGACAGACCGACAGACTGACAGACTGACAGACGACAGACTGACAGACTGGACAGACCGGGACAGACCGACAGACCGACAGACTGACAGACTGACAGACGTCGACAGACCGACAGACTGACAGACTGACAGACCGACAGACTGACAGACTGGACAGACTGACAGACCGACAGACTGACGACAGACTCCGGGACAGACTGACAGACTGACAGAGACTAGACCGGACAGACTGAAGGACAGACTGACAGACTGACAGACTGACAGACTGACAGACTGGCAGACTGACAGACTGACAGAGACCGGACTGACAGACAGACAGACAGACCGACAGACTGACAGACTGACAGACTGACAGACTGACAGGACAGACTCGACAGACTGACAGACTGACACCGACAGACTGACAGACTGACAGACTGACAGACTGACAGACTGACAGACTGACAGACTGACAGACTGACAGACTGACAGAGACCGACAGACCGACAGACTGACAGACTGACAGACCTGACAGACTGACAGACGGGACACAGACTGACAGACTGACAGACTGACAGACTGACAGACTGACAGACTGACGAGACTGACAGACTGAGACTGACAGACTGACAGACTGACAGACTGACAGACTGACAGACTGACAGACTGACAGACCGGACAGACTGACAGACCGACAGACTGACAGACTGACAGACTGACAGACTGACAGACTGACAGACCGACAGATCGACTGGACAGACTGACAGACTGACAGACCGACAGACTGACAGACTGACAGACTGACAGACTGGGACAGACAGACTGACAGACTGACAGACTGACAGACTGACAGACTGACAACGGACAGACGACAGACATGGACGATGACAGACTGACAGACTGACTGACAGACTGACAGACTGGACAGACCGACAGACTGACAGACTGACAGACTGACAGACTGGACAGACTGACAGACTGACAGACTGACAGACTGGACAGACTGACAGACTGACAGACTGACAGACTGACAGAGACTGACAGACGGGACAGACTGACAGACTGACAGACTGACAGACTGACAGGACTGACAGACGACAGACTGACAGACTGACAGGCAGACTGACAGACTGACAGACTGACAGACTGACAGACTGACAGACTGACAGACCGGACAGACAGACTGGACAGACTGACAGACTGACCGGACTGACAGACCGATGACTGACAGACCTGACAGACTGACAGACCGGGACAGACCGACAGACTGACAGACTAAGGACAGACCGAGACTGACAGACCGGACAGACTGACAGACGGACAGACTGACAGACTGACAGACTGACAGACGACAGACCGACAGACGACAGACCGACAGACTGACAGACTGGCAGACCGACAGACGACAGACCGGACAGACTGAAGACTGACAGGACTGACAGAGACTGACAGACCGACAGACGACAGACGGACAGACTGACAGACTGACAGACTGACAGACTGACAGACTGACAGACTGACAGACTGACAGACTGACAGACTGACAGACTGACAGACTGACAGACTGACAGACTGACAGACTGACAGACTGACAGACTGCCAGACTGACAGACTGACAGACTGACAGACTGACAGACTGACAGACTGACAGACTGACAGACTGACAGACTGACAGACTGACAGACTGACAGACTGACAGACTGACAGAACGCGACAGACTGACAGACTGACAGACTGACAGACTGACAGACTGACAGACTGACAGACTGACAGACTGACAGACTGACAGACTGACAGACTGACAGACTGACAGACTGACAGACTGACAGACTGACAGACTGACAGACTGACAGACTGACAGACTGGCAGACTGACAGACTGACAGACTGACAGACTGACAGACTGACAGACTGACAGACTGACAGACTGACAGACTGCCAGACTGACAGACTGACAGACTGACAGACTGACAGACTGACAGACTGACAGACTGACAGACTGACAGACTGACAGACTGACAGACTGACAGACTGACAGACTGACAGACTGACAGACTGACAGACTGACAGACTGACAGACTGACAGACTGACAGACTGACAGACTGACGACAGACTGACAGACTGACAGACTGACAGACTGACAGACTGACAGACTGACAGACTGACAGACTGACAGACTGACAGACTGACAGACTGACAGACTGGCAGACTGACAGACTGACAGACTGACAGACTGACAGACTGACAGACTGACAGACTGACAGACTGACAGACTGACAGACTGACAGACTGACAGACTGACAGACTGACAGACTGACAGACTGACAGACTGACAGACTGACAGACTGACAGACTGACAGACTGACAGACTGACAGACTGACAGACTGACAGACTGACAGACTGACAGACTGACAGACTGACAGACTGACAGACTGACAGACTGACAGACTGACAGACTGACAGACTGACAGACTGACAGACTGACAGACTGACAGACTGACAGGCTGACAGACTGACAGACTGACAGACTGACAGACTGACAGACTGACAGACTGACAGGCTGACAGACTGACAGACTGACAGACTGACAGACTGACAGACTGACAGACTGACAGACTGACAGACTGACAGACTGACAGACTGACAGACTGACAGACTGACAGACTGGACAGACTGACAGACTGACAGACTGACAGACTGACAGACTGACAGACTGACAGACCGACAGACTGACAGACTGACAGACTGACAGACTGACAGACTGACAGACTGACAGACTGACAGACTGACAGACTGACAGACTGACAGACTGACAGACTGACAGACTGACAGACTGACAGACTGACAGACTGACAGACTGACAGACTGACAGACTGACAGACTGACAGACTGACAGACTGACAGACTGACAGACTGACAGACTGACAGACTGACAGACTGGCAGACTGACAGACTGACAGACTGACAGACTGACAGACAGACGAGACAGACTGACAGACTGGACAGACTGACAGACTGACAGACTGGACAGACTGACAGACTGACAGACGACAGACTGACAGACTGACAGACCCAACTGACTGACCCAACTGACTGACAGACTGGTTTGGACACACAAAAATTACACATTCACTCATCGGTCACAAGTAGAGAACAGATAATAATAACATGGTTCAGGCTTGGACACACAAAAATTACACATACACTCTATATGGACCCAGCTGAAACCAGGACCTGTCAGTTCTGCAATGATACCAACGATGCCTTATCAATTAATCATTTACTAACTAACTAATAATATAACTAACTAAATAATAATAACTAACTAATTATTGTAAAAACCGAGCTAAAGGCCCCTATTGCCATTTCTCAACATCACCTCTACCTTTTAATTTTAAATTACTTGGTAACTCTTCATAAATAAATAAAAAACAAAATATATGTGAATTCCAATAAAGCAAATATTACAATTTTACGATCAAATATATTTCACACTTGTAATTTACTTCTGCGACACTAATTTACTGGTATAACTATAGCAATAATTAAATAGTAAAGATAAATATGTTTGTGGAAAATCGAATGTGGTAATAAAATAAAATTAATAATATGTTTCTTGCTCCACCCACCCACCTGGATTTCTTCTTATAAGAAACTTACGGCCCTCGTCAAAAAAAAAAATAAGTAAGCCAAAAGGGAACGCATAAATCCACCAAATAAATCTGTAAAAAAAAAGATTGTTACACGCTGTATGGGACAATTTTGTACTTACTTAATGGAATACATTCTTAAGGTTTTTTCAAATACAGGTACATAGCAAAGCAGGCAGGCAATGATGAATTCAAGAACCAGCGCGAAGTTAAGTACGTGATTATTCATACCTTGTTGCAATATTGAGTTTCGTCTAGTTTTGCATATTAAAAGATCAAACACCTGTGTCACTACTATCGTCACAAAAAAACCTGTGCCTGCGGTATACTCTAGAACTTTACGTTCTCTGTAGGTCTTTGAGCACATCTATGTTATTAAATAAGACAAATTAAATAAATATAAAAACATTTTACCCATTCCTGTCCGTATCCATCTTCAAGATCTTCAACATCTGATGAGTCCCAGTCATGTCGAATTCCAAGAAGTCTAGAAGGGGGGAACCCATGCTCAGCCATTATTGCAAAAAATGTAAAGAAACTGGCAACCGTCTGTATTATTCCAATTTGCAAGTATGCCATTAAAATTAACCTTATGATATAAGGAGCTTAAGTATAATGCTTCAAAAATATATCTTTGAAAACATACTTTTTATTCACCAAACGGTCCTCAAAGGGATCTCTTGGCATACGGGACATTATATCAGATTCCGCTTTTTCATAAGCTAGTGATATCGCCGGAAGCATATCAGTGCCGATATCGATGCATAGAATTGCGATAGTTCCCAAAGCTAACGGTATATCAAATATCACAAAACATAGAAACGGCATTATTTCCGGAAGATTCGAAGTTAAAGTATATGCAATCGATTTTTTAAGATTGTCAAAAATAAGACGACCTTCCTCAATACCCACAACTATTGATGCGAAATTATCATCGAGTAAAATCATGTCCGCTGCCTGCTTCGAAACATCAGATCCTGATATGCCCATTGCAACACCAATATCAGCCCGTTTCAAAGCAGGCGAGTCATTAACACCATCCCCAGTAACAGCAACAATTTCTCCACGTCTTTGACATGCTTCTACGATAATTAACTTTTGTTGAGGGGAAGTTCGTGCAAAAACAATTTCATTGTGGTAGTAAATAACTGCATCTAATTCTTCGGCTTTCATCTCACGAAGCTCACCACCATGCACCACTATAGCAGTAGCTTGTCGGACATCGACATCTTGTACCCTTACGTTACGTTGCTTGGCAATGTCTTCAGCAGTCGGCTTTGTAATTATACCTACACTACGGGCTATGGCTTTAGCTGTAATAGGGTGATCACCAGTTACCATAATTACTCGTACTCCTGCCGATCGGCATTTTGCAACTGCATCTGGAACTGCAGCACGGGGCGGATCAATTAAAGATATTAATCCTAGAAAACGAAGATTTTCTAGGGGAAAATTTGGAGGCTCTGCGCTGAACTCGTAAGAAACTGGATATTGAGACCTGGGAAGTATGAGGTCTGCAAATCCTAAAACTCTTTCACCCATTCCGCCCATCTCCAAATAAGCTTCCTCGAATTCCATTTTTAAAGTAGGCGTAAGTTTCACGGACTGACCTTGAATTATTATCATGTCACAGCGATCCAAAATTCTTTTCTGAGCTCCTTTCATTTCAACTATAAAATATCCATCTGTTGAAATAAATTCATGAACTGAGACTTGATACTTTTCTGTTGAATTAAATGGAATTTCTGTCAATTTAGAATGCTTTTGCCGAATAGATCCAATGCCTCCAAAAACTGTCTCCGCAAATTTTAAAAGAGCCGCCTCTGAAGCGTTTCCATTGATATCTTTTTTAAAAACTGGTATATCATCTTGGCCACCTTTGAATTCAGCTGAGTTACAAAGGGCAGCACACAGAAGAAGAGCATTAAAAGATTTATCCTCATTATTAAAATGTGATCCACGAAAAGACTCTGTTGTATCAGATTCCACTATTACCTGATCATACCATAAGTGAGCAACTGTCATTCGATTTTGTGTTAAGGTGCCTGTTTTATCAGAACAAATTGTTGATGTTGATCCCAAAGTCTCCACGGCTTCCAAGTTTTTGACCAAGCAGTTTTTTGATGCCATACGCTTGGCCGTAAGTGTTAAACACACAGTTACAGTTACAAGTAAGCCCTCAGGAACGTTTGCAACAATAATACCAATCAGGAAAACAGATGCATTTATAAACGAATATCCTAGCATTAAACTGAGTCCAAAAAAAGAGACACCTAATATAACAGCAAAAATAGTAATAAATCGTATAAAAAGTTGAATTTCCCTGGAAATAGGTGATTGTACGTCATCTAGACCTGCTGCCAAGTTTGCTATTCTTCCCATAACTGTATTATCACCCGTAGCAATGACAACACCACGGCAAGTCCCTTCTAGTACGTTTGTAGAAAAAAATGCCAAGTTTCTCGTTTCCAGTGGGTTTTCATGTGTAAACTCAGCAGATCTTACTTGAGGCTCTGATTCCCCAGTTAAGGAAGAATTGTCCACTTTTAAGCCGTGAGCTTCTATTATTCGAATATCAGCTGGAACTCTATCTCCAAATTTTACTTCAACAATATCCCCTTTAACTATCTGATCTGAAGTAACAGTGTTTACTTCTCCTTCTCGTATTACAGTAGCGAATTGTGGGACAAGATTTTTAAATGAGTCCATTATGGAAGAGGATTTATGAACCTAGTTGACAATTATGTAGTAAAATTTAATATGATTCAAATTAAAAATTAAAATCAATTAAGATGGAACGATTAGATTACAATTTTCCCGGTACTAGCTCGCCTGTGTGTTAAAGTATATGTGCAGTATCTCTAGAATTTTATCTCCTTTTTGCTTCTATTAATATTGAAACATCTCTTGAGGAGATTAAAAATAAGTTATCTAATTTTAAATCTATAATCTAAACATCTGATTGACAGTTGTTAATTATTGTGGCGCAAAAAAAGTGTTAAAAGTGATAAAACAGTGCACAGCAAAGGGACTACAAAAGAATAGCCCCATATTAGTGTGATTTCGGCCAAGTCCAAGTAGCAATCAATACTAACGGAAGCGACAAGCGCACCAAAATTTTTTTGCAGTGCTACGAAGCTACCTCAGCGCAAAAGCCAGCAAACCCCTATATGAATATTCCCATGTTATGTTCCCATACGCGTTCGTAAGCCAAAGCAACAGCACCAAAAGAATTAAAATGCATTTATTTATTTGTGCGAACGCAACTCAATTGCCAAATTGTTTTCTTCCCCCAAATACTCTACTTTGAGCACATTAATTGTTTAATTATACCAGTTACTCGTAGAGTAAGAGGGTATACTATATTCGTTGAAATGTATGTAACAGGTAGAAGGAAGCGTTTCCGACCCTATAAAGTATATAAGATAACACCGGCCAAGCGCCCCCTTCCCTTCAACCCTCCCGGCCCTCACCGCTTTCGGGACTACAATAATGCAGCCGCCGAGCAGCAGATATGCAACGACAGCTACTCGGCGACAGCAAAGAGACAGAACGACGGCGGCATTCTGCCGGAGGCAATTCCCTTGCCGAGAGGCAGTTTCGCAGGCGCCCTGCCAGGAGTCTGCGGCGAGGGACTGAAAATCGTACCCCTGACTCAAGAAAACGGCTTTTGATCTCAACTAATAAAACGTTTATAACGTATAGAAACGATCACTGTTTTATTTGTAACGTAACTCGTAAATAGAAAAACCTAGGGCAAGGCGGAAAGAGACGAGTCAACTAAGATCCAGGAACCAAAGGAACAACTATAGCAACTACTTAGTCCGGCCATAACTGGCGCCCAAACAGCTCCTTTTTTTACGAGGAAACCGTGGCACCACATTTTTGCCAGTTATATTTTTTTTGTTTTGTGTACGTTAAGAACTTTTGCTGTGTACGTGAATGAAAAAGCAAATAGGAACAAAAATCGAAGCGGTGAATTACTCACTGCGGCGGGTTGCCGATGGCAAAAATTGCCTACACAGTCAATACAAAAAGTTTCCAATGTGCAATTTGATAAAAATAATAAAATAATTATGCACTGCGGCAGCTGCCTTTAGCACGTCTGCGAGTGTAACAATGTCGTTTTATATAAACAACCTAAGAAAACCGCTGCGGCAATTAATTTGCGAGCGGCAAGCAAAATAACAAAAAAAACTAATAAAATGGTGTGTGGCAGTCTGCTAGAAACGCTAAGAGGTGTGGAATGCGCCCAAAAAGGCTGCCTATTGGACTGTGTGTGCAACCGTACCTGAGTATGCTCAGGCCAAAACGGAACAATACGGACCACCGCGCCCAGTGCCAAAAAGCAAATAAAATACACGGAAACTAAAGTTAAACAAAAATTCTTTGACAGACTTGCAAAGAAAAACCTATTTTTTTTTCTTTCAATAAATAATTACATGCAGAATTGCCAAAAAATGCGCACACAGTAAGAATGAAAAAATGAGATGACACAGTCCTTGTAATTGTCGAATTCTAGGAAGTGATGTCTTGATTGGCGAGCATCGAGGTTGTTGCTACAATTCCAGAAGTTGATAAAGTCCTGGTATTCGAAGTATTGGCTCTGAGATCGAGAGCGCAACTGTCGAGTGTGGTCCGGTTGAAGAGCGCGACTCTTCGGTTTGAGCTCTTGCCACGATCACTTCGCTTAGCAGAAAAGTTCTACACCAGTCAAAAAACAGAGTTCAAACAAATAAATACAAAAGGTACTCCCAAAGTTCACAAGAAACAAAGGATAAAGAGAAGAATGTGAATTGTGGAAATAAAAGAAAATTAAGAATTGAATTGTGAATAACTTAGTACCTGTCGCGCCGATTTGTCCACGTACCGTGTGAAGCGGCATATTCGCGAGCACAAAACACTAAGTAACATAAAAAAAGAAGCAAAAGTCCACTGCGGCGATAAGCTCACACCATTGGGTAGCTTATTCGCGAGTGTGAAAAATGCAATTTTATTTAAATAAACACAGATAACCGATGCGGCAACTAATTTGCGAGCGGCAAAATTATAAACTTATTTTGAAGAAAAAAAAATATAAATATAATATAAAAAATTGGCAAACTGCTGGAAGGGCTAACGGATGTAGAATGCATTCAAAAAAGCTGCCCAGTGGATTGTGTGGCAACCGTACCTTAGTAGGCGCAATACCAAAACAGATAAATACGGACCACCGCGCCGATAAACACAGTTACACAAAATCCAAAGAGAAAAATCATGAAATTAAAAAAAAAAACCCACAACGCCCAAACGGAAATTCTCATGCAATTCCTTTTTGAACAAATAAATGACACAAATACTAATTTTAATCTAATTTTAGAATAATAATCCTGTAAGACAGAAAACAGAGAACTTTGAAACATTGAAACATTGAAACACTGAAACATTAGAACCACGCAACAAAAAAAGAAGGAAAATACTGAGGGCAAGTGAAACGATTCTTTATACGCACGTCTCTTAATTTTAATAGTTGGCGGTTGACTGTTGGACAGAGGTCAAACGGGTATTGGCATTACACCTTTCCGATAAACAAGATGTCGGTACGGTAGAGTTCGAACTAGATCAAATGACCCAGGGAAGCCAAAAACTGGACTACTTCTACCTTAGGATTAATAATCATGTCTCGCTTATTATGAATAAAATTTTTTCCAGGGGGCTAGAGCAGCAATCAAGCACGAGTCAAACCAATCAGGCCGAAGTTATAGGTCAAATTTTTACTCGCGTCAAGGAGAGGCCTGTGGCATCAAACGAAGCCCGAGCGCTAACTCCAATTTAAATCCCTTCCGTAAAGCTCAAAGGCTCTACCATATCCAATCCACTCCATCATCAGACCCCGCTCCCAATGAATGCTATCAACAACATTCTAGTTATGAGGGGGAGGAGTTGGAACACTCATCGCAAGGGGTAAAACATTGTTCTCACTTGGAGGAGATACAGTGTATTGACGATGGTGAACAAAATTTTATGACCGACGCCTCTCTAGTATACCATACATGAGTATGGGACTAAAACAGGGGCCAAGCTGCAATTTCTTATAGACACCGGTACTAACAATAATTTTATAAGCCCCAAGAACTCCGCCGGTTCTACAGCATTACCAACACCGTTTGTCGTTCAGTACGCTGGGGGTAATGTAACAATAACACATTGTATAACTGGACAATTTTTTAAGCCGATTGAGAACGATACCGTTCTCACCTTTTTGTCCTTCCCGGACTAACATCATTTGACGGCATCATAGGAGACGGACCCTAAGAACTTTAAAAGCGCTAATCGACAGGAAAATCGATCTCTTGACAATATCACCCGATATTAAGACTCCCCTTCTTGCTAAAAAATCCTTAAATGTACACCTATTGTTAGATAAACCGTGAGCCCGCAAAGGAAGCTTTAAACGCTCTTATAAGCGAATATTTCAAAATCTTCGAGCCACTCTCACATGGAGAATCTGTAGACACGAGCGTTACTCTTGGATTAACCTCGGGATTCCATCAGATTTATAAGTTGGAGTCTGATACCCCAAAAACAGCATTATCTACAATGAATGGGAAGTACGAATTTTTTCGCCTTCCGTTTGGTTTGAAAAATGCCCCAACAGTGTTTCAAAAAATAATCGACAATGTGTTACGGGAACATATTGGCAAAATTTGCTACGTGTACATCGACGACATAATAGTCTTCAGTGAGGACTATGATAGCCACTGGCAAAACCTTAAGGATTATGCAAAGGTCGCGAAACCACTAACTAACTT